TGTGACGTTGCAAAACAAGGTACATGTTGTGAAGCTCATAAAGTGAGGCAAATAGAAATAATCAGCTGATGGAGTGTAGATGTGGAAATAGCTGCATTCGATCAGCTGACTGTTTTTACAATAAAAGTAGTTTCTTAGTGAATGTCCTGTACTGGTCTTAAAATCTCATAACATCAGCTTTTAATGTTCCTCTTGGATGTTCTTCTTGACCCTCAGAGAAGGAGAACATGTCGTGTCTTTCAGGCATGTCCTTTCCTAACAAAAATGACAGGAAACATAAAACATATTATTGCAGAACAAGTGTGTTATTTATGAAAGCGGTGTGTTTGTGTGTTTAGGGGCTGTAGATATAATTATTTTGTAATTGTAATGTTTTTTTTTATTTCAACAATGAGCTACAAAGACAATCAGATTATGAATGAACAGTATGAAGTTCATCAACATTGAAATATATGTTATTATCAAAATTAACTTAACTGTTATCAAAACGTAGTGCAACTGTAGAAGCTTGCTCTGTTGTCTCACTGAAAGAATCACTTTTACCACGTTTTTTTACAGACAATATTGAGAGATAAATAGTAGCAGTTCTCACTATGCGTTAAATATCTTTGCCTTCAATACATTAAATTAGAAAGATGACAAAGTCATATTGCTTGTTATCATCTAAATGTAACTTTTTGCATGGAAAAAACCCTCAACTTAACTGATGTGTAGGTGATCTAGTATTTAGTATTGTTTAATGGAATGTATATCAGTGTATTCAAGTCAATACTTCATTCATTTAAACCAATATCTTTCTTGATTCTTTGTACAGTATGAAAAAAGAGTCTTTGTACCTGAGCTGAAGTTCACTGCTGTGAGGAGTCCAGTTCTGTCTCACTCTCTGGTCCAGCCTGTCTGCATCACCTGGACACCTTAAACAAACAGATATATATATATATATATATATATATATATATATATATATATATATATATATATATATATATATATTAGGGCCGGGACTCGATTAAAAAAATTAATCTAATTAATTAGAGGCTTTGTAATTAATTAATCGAAATTAATCGCATTTTTAATCACATATAAATATTTGACCTGAGAACAGTGAGAAGCAATTTTTTTCACATGGATTTGAGTATACCATTAGGCGCATTCCCACCGCAGTACTTTTCCCACAAAGGTTCATGAGAATTTAGTTCATGAGAACTCTTTGAACCTGGGGGTGGATTAGGCAAATGAAGCCGCTGACGTCACTTCTTCTTCTTCTGCTTTGGGTTTACTGGCAGGCCGCAAACCACTTCACGGCGTATACTGCCGCCCAAAGTCCCCGGAGTTGAGGACTGGCTTCAGTAGAAGCTGCTGGGACTCCCAGCAGCTTCTACTGAAGCCTTCCGAGTAAATCGCCAGAACGCCGACACCTCCTCATCTCCACCGCTCCCATGTTTTATTTTGTGTTGCCATAAATTAGTCTCTCTGCGTTTCTGCGCTGGGCTAATACTAATAATGCTAATAATGCTAATACGAGGATAATAAAATGGCGGCTTCACAAAACTTTTTGGGAGTTTTACGGGGCGTGGTTTGCAATCCGCCCAGCCAATCAGAAATATAGCTCTTTTCTCACAAGAGAGCCGAACGAAAGTCCCTGCTCTCTAGCAGCTCTCTGCTCTCTAGCAGGGACTTTCGTGGGGGTAAAAAGGTTCTCATGAACTAATTTTAGTACCGGCTCTTTTTGGTGTGAACGCGATAAAAGAGGCTAACGTCCACGCTAGCTGCTATATGTTTTGCATTGAGGTGATACTTGAGGCTTGATGTGCTGCGGTGATATGCGAATTCCTTTTTGCATAATTTGCACACAACCGTGCTCTTATCGACGCTTCCATCCGTCCGTTTTTTAAAACAACATTTCCCACTGTTCACTGTGGTTTGTTGTTGTCTGAAGTCATGAACGTTAGTTGGTGCTCCAGTATAATCGGTACGCCTGAAACTCATCCAGTGAGAAACGTTCCGCGGTGCAAAAATAAGTGCGATTAAAATGCGTTAATTTTTTTAACGCGTTAATTTTTGTGTAATTAATTAATCTTAATTAACGCGTTAAAGTCCCGGCCCTAATATATATATATGTAAAGTACCATGTGTACAAACAATATAACTGATTCTCTTCTGTTGAACATGTTGGATTGTGTATTGTCCGAGTCAGGGGCCTTTTTATTTTACTGTAACTTTGGAAGTTGTGTTACCAATGCTTACTGTTTATTTGATACCCATTTGGTAATACAAATAAAAACAACAAGGTTTGGGTTCTTTCTTCAGATGACTGTGACGTTAACGTGTAAGCTCAATAATGAACTCCAGCTCAACCAACCATATTGTAATATCTAAGTAATCATCTTGAAATATGACATTAATAATTGTAATATACACACATCTTATTGTGAGGTTGATTTCACATACACTATTTCGACATTAGCTTGCTAGCTTAGATGCATACAGTTCTACCTACATAATAAAATATCTCTAAGTTACAAGGATGTAACCTTATTTTATCAACCTCAAACAGAAGCAGTTTGTTCAACAGTATTATCCCACTTAACACTTGTCTATTTCGTTGTAACCTTTATATATACAGTCTATGATTTTAACTTGGAGGCTACGATTATCCACATTTGTGGAATCAGCTTCCAGTTTGTGTTCGGGCGGCAGACACCCTATCCGTTTTTAAGAGTGCGCTTAAGACCTTCCTTTTTGATAAAGCTTATAGATAGGGCTGATTAGATCCAGCCCCTAGTTTTGCTGATATAGGCTTAGTTTGTCGGGGGACATCTTACTTCTTCCTTCTCTCTGTCTATACCTGTGTACTCTCATGTTCCGATTAACCCAGCTTCCCCAAATGTCTTTCTTTTTGGTGTCTATATACGCCGGGATCCGGAGTCATGGATGATCCTGCGCTCCTCTGTCCTGGATCGCGAGCCCTGGATCTTGAGTCGTGGCTGTGGTCCTGGATCATAGGTCCTGGATGAATATCCTCGTGGATTCATCTTCCTATTATACACACATGCATTTCCAAACATTTGGACTACCTATGTTGCAAATGTATTATCTTTTCAATTTACACACGGCATCTATTGCATGTCTGTCCGTCCTGGGAGAGGGATCCCTCCTCTGTTGCTCTCCCTGAGGTTTCTCCCATTTTTCCCTTTAAACTGTGGGTTTTCTCCGGAAGTTTTTCCTTGTACGATGTGAGGGTCTAAGGACAGAAGGTGTCGTATTGTCATACTGATATTTTGTACAAACTGTAAAGTCCACTGAGACAAATGTAACATTTGTGATATTGGGCTATATAAATAAACATTGATTGATTGATTGATTGATTACAATCGTTAGCACCGATGTAGCTACCACTAGCTTACATGCTAACCCAAGCCTTACCATTCATTACGTGGCTGATTAAAAATCATTAACACATAAATAAAGCACTAGAATTTCACTTACCGCAAAACCGCATTCATGCACCGTCTGTTTTAACCGCAGAGCGAGTCACAATAGTCCGATATATAAGCATGAAGAACAAACAACCACGGCCGGCTTCAAGTTGTGTTTCCTGGATGAGCTGAGCAGGCAGAGTCCCTGTAGCTAGCTTCACGGAGCAGCTAGCAGAGAGACAAGAAGCTAACAGCGGCAGGCACTTGACAGAGCCGTCACTCAATGTGACCACGCCCTAATCTATGCACAAACTTTAAGACCTAATATAAATAAAAGGGTCGCGTTAGAAAACAATTCACTCACAGATCCATAATCATGAAGGTGGAATCTAACTATATCGATAATAAAATGTATGGAGCCAGGGGTAGAAACATGTTTTTTTCTGCTGTAAAGTTGGGCATTTTAACATGGGGTCTATGGAAATTGCTCCTTTCTGCAGCCATCGCCTATCGGCCAATATATGAACTGCAGTGTGTGGCACTTCCTTATTGGCTTCCCGGCTCTACCCCCACAGTTTGCCGCTTGGTTACAACTCCAAGATAATATTCAACTCATTAGCTAATCCAGTGGTTCATAAATATACATATGTTGTGTTTAGGGATGCACGATAATTATCGGTCCGATATTAGGAATTATGACGTCATCCCGATAAACCCGATACCAGTATTAATAGCCCCGATAATATACAATATATTTTTTGGTTAAAAAAAAAGAAAAAAATACTGCGGTGTGGGTGGATTGGGATGAGGGGCGCTTGTTTTTCACTCGGCTCCTCCCGTTTTGCCAGTACTGTGGTATTAGTGGTTTTTCACAAATCCAGCGCTCCCTAACTCGTGAAGCCAGGACAGTAAAAAAACATGTCGTCGGTGGTATGGGCGTTGGAGCTATGTGCAACTCAAGGCATATGCTCGAACCGGAGCTGCCTGGACGCTGCAATCATGTTGCGCACTATCCGTGCTGAGTGTGCTGACTTTTCGTACAATGTCCCACTGTCTGGCTTCCTGCATAAAGTCAAGTGCTCGGCGCAGTTGTGGCGAAATGTCGCTCCTCTGTTTTCATTTAAACAGCTCCGTATATCCGTTAGCGCAGCTAGCTAGCACCAGATGCTAACAACAACAATGCACGTAAGGTCTCTCTCTCGCTCGCTCGGGCCACACATACACACACCCTCCCGTTCCTCCAGATGGCCAGTCGGTGCCTGCCGGTGAGCGTGGAAGTGTGGTCTGCCACAAGCGGGCGACAGGAGCGGGGCTGTCAGCATCAGCTTGTAGATGGTATTTTAAACTCGATGCGCTCTGAAACTACGGGGCGGCCGAGGAAAAAAAATACACATGCGTTAATCGCGTTAAAATAATTAGTGGCGTACACATTTTTGTATTATCGGTATCGGTCTTGAGAAGCAGGAAGTTATCGGTATCGGTTTCAAAAAACCAATATCGTGCATCCCTAGTTGTGTTAAGAGGCGCAATCATCATATTCCATTGATTAATCCATTTAAAGAAAATTCATCTACAACTTGAAATGTTGAAGTCATTTTTAAAAGCAAAAATACCCCAAAATAATCTTGTCAAAGCTTTCCTGTCAGTGTCAACTGAATATGTGTGTGTGTTGTTTGGATACAACAGGATATTAGAAGACGTCACTGGGCTCAGGATAATTATAACAATCACTTTCACAGTTTTTGACATTTTGTAGAAAAAGCAAACAAAATCAATTATCTATCATGGAAAAATAAATCCAGTATCATTCATGATATACCGACAGATTGTTCAGCCTGTATCATTACAGGTGGCGGCCTTTAGTATGCTCATTAAGAGTGAGAAGCTCAAACAAAGAGGGACATATCAAACAAGATTTTAGAAGAAAAAAAGTAAAAGAATCCAAAACTGATTTATTTCTTGCTCTTGTCCCTGCAATCATTTATTTCATCTTCAGGTGGAAAACTGCTGGATTCATTGTGATACTTGTCTTAACATTATTGTTGTTGTTGCCTCCAAGTGTTTTTAAAATACTCTTGCGTTTAGGAGTTATTTTGCTTTCTTGGCGTACTCTTTTCTGCCTCCTCCCTTACTGCCAAAGTTGCGCACGCGGTGGATCTTGGCCAGATGGCCCTCGATGGTCTTCATTATGTCCACGTGGTCTGGGATGTGGACGTAGCGGATATTCCTACCTGTGATAAACATGTCCTGCAGCTGGCTGGATTTACCCCGCCTGTCTTTGTACGTCACATCGTCCAGACGTACGTTCATGAAGGCGTCCACGTTGACCACGCGGCCCCGCGCCGAGCTCTCGTTCCTCAGCTCCACCGTGGTCACCTCGCCCTGCAGGCCCTGCAGCAGGACCACCATGCTGTTCTCTGCGATGGAGCGCTCCCTGATGGAGTTGAAGACTTCAGCTACAGGTGCCGAGCCCGAGGGCGGGGAGTCACTCCTCTCTGACTCCATGGACGCTGAAGAAGAGGATCTGCAGAGGCCAGGGACACCTACAGACAAGAAGAAGATTAGACAAACAAATTAGTTGTAAAACTGTGAATTGCATATTATTAAGTAACTTGTTCTATTGCTGCTTGCCTACAGTATGTATGATTTGTTAGGTGTCACTGTAAACTAACCCACTTTACCATGCTGTACTTGTACTGTACTTGTACTTGTACATGCTGTACAGATAACTCTTACAACTGATCCTGAAAACGAATGAAATAAAAAAGTGTCTTAAGATAACCAAACACTGGGACATTTGGAACAAATGTGATAAAAACTATTTATTTTTAGAGCTGAAAAACTGCAGTTGTATTTTTCCTACTCCTACTTTTTCCAACTAAAGCTTGGACACAGCCTCCACTTGTAGACTTTCTGTTAAGTATGAATACATATACATTTGAATACAGGCCAGGAATTGGAAAGTTAGAAGTTACAATTAATATTTTATTCTCCTAAATTAACCACTTTGATAGAATTGATGCTAGCACTGTCTTTGTCACGTGTAGCCACAAACTTAACAACACACCTGCATTTAATAAAGCACTGATTAAGAGTCAATCAGCAGACATACACAATAACTGGAACACACATAGGCCTATTGTGGGGCTTCAGGACAGAAACAAAGATATTATTACTCTTGAATATTAAATGAATACATGTGTTAAATTAGGTTTCCAAACACATGGCATAAATTGACATAGCTCTAAACACATGCACTGTCGTTATTGATACACGATTTACTGGCTAAAAACCAGCCTTTTTGGAAAATATGAATTCTTAGAAAACTATCTTAATACCACATATCACTGTACAACATATAACTCAATTTAATGGTCTCTACTCAATATAGGAAGACACATTTATTGACAGAAAAATTATTGAAATGTGAGAATTAATTAGTGTTAGCAGCGACCTGAACAAGTACGACAGAGCTTCCTCAGAGTACATGTTATATACTATAGTACGAGTTTATGTTTGTTAGATTTACCTGGACTTGTTCAATCCTTATTTCACGTGAAAAAAAAACCCGTTAACAAACATGAAAACAAGTTGAGATTTCCCCGCAACATGTCCAAAGCAAGAAGCGCAGCGTGATGACGTTTAAATGTACGTCGTAGATGTGCGTCAACATAAAACAACATCGCCCCCTGCAGGCGGCTTTAAATCAAACCTCTGCTCCATAAACCAAACTGTAACTATATGACTCCGTAAACACGTTATATCATTGTATATTGATAATACTCCCCGATATATTTAAATACACCTATTCAAACAAATTAAGAATGCCGAAATAGTTGTCACATAAAACAGAGTTTGCAGAACATAAAAGACAGGATTATAATCAGGGGAAACGTCAATAAAGATGCTTTGTTGATGAAAAACACACCATTTCTAATAAATAAATAGAAGGGATTTATACAACAATAAATGAGTCCTCCAATTTGTACTCCTAGTCCTAGGTGGTTAGACTTCTTGTTGTAGTCTCTTATTCCTATCTACACACACGACATCCTTTAGGACACTTTGTAACAACCATATTCACCTCAATCTACAGATCCCAAGGCAGTTTTATTAAAACATTTACAATCTATAATCGTCTCATCAATGACTAATTTATATTCTGACATTGTGTTAAATAACAGAAAACAAACAAACAATATTCAATAAATGCTTTATTGAAAACATAATTATTATAAACAAAATATATTTTACAATGGAACATATTTTCTGCTTGTTATTTAAATAAAGTAAAATATAAGTACGTTTTATCAGATGCTATATAATCATTTGATATATTATTACTCTCTAATCTACTTCAGTGTTAAACAAACATGTCTAGGTAAGTCGGGTTAGGGGTTAGGGTTAGTAGAGGCAGTAGAGTTAAAATGAATCTTGTTGAAACTACACATCAAGGTCAGAGGTCGTCCATCATGGCCAGCAGGTCGTCTCCTTTGCTGCTGGTCAGATTTCCAGGCGGCTCTTCTTCTGCAAACTGTCCGGCGATTCTAGCAAGCTCAGTCGTTACCTGTTCATCCTGAAACAAACAATCCATCAACAGGTCAATCCTTTACAAATGTATAATTAACCAATGATGTCGTTTAAGAAGATGTTATTAATTGGTTAGTTACAGTCTCTACAGGAAACATGGACATTCATATCATGTAATTAATTTGTTATTGAGGAAAAATTATATTATTAAATAAATATTAAAAAAACATTATTCTGTAAAAGTATGACACTTCTTAATAATGGGTACATTATTTTAATAATTTGAAAAAAAAACCTTGTTATAATGTTAATCTCATAATAATATGGAATATATTTATATAAATTATATTTATTATATTTTATACTATGCCTATGCTATAAACTTTTTATTATATAATGGTATATTTATTTATTTTAATGTATAAAACATCCTCCATCCCATACTACATTATTCTGTGCTACACGATATTATCTTTGACACAAATGCAAACAACAACACTGAGTATCAGTACTTAATCATATCGTATACCACTCTGGTGTACGCTGTTTACATTTCCTATACCTTGCTGAATTTGCCTTCTCATTTTATCATTAATTTCTCTTATAAAGTTTAAATGATGGCTTAAAAATAAAAAAAAATAAAAAAAAGACCTAACCTCAATATAGTACATTGTATTACTTTTTCTATTGATCTGTAGTTGCTTCTGTCTTTTCTCACATTCATTACAATTAGCATCGGCCTGATAAGGTATTCTCCCAGTGCAGGGGAGGGGAACCTCCGACCCCCGGACCATGTACGGCCTGCGAGACCATTTGGTACAGCCCTCGAGGTAATTTATAAACACACTCAAAAAAAAAAAAAAAAAAAAAAATCTAGACCGCAAACAAATTAAACAAGCGAGTGCCTGTTTTTCCTGGCCAAGGTCAAGGTCCTTGAACACAACACGAGCCTAACGTGTCATCACGTGGTATATGTCTCGTCTGAGTGTCCTTTTATTGTGGCCAGCCTAAGGCACACCTGTGCAATAATCATGCTGTCTAATCAGCATCTTGATATGCCACACCTGTGAGGTGGGATGGATTATCTCGGCAAAGGAGAAGTGCTCACTATCACAGATTTTTTCAGATTTGTGAACAATATTTGAGAGAAATGGTTATTTTGTGTATATAGAAAATGTTTTAGATCTTTGAGTTCATCTCATGAAAAATGGGAGCAAAAACAAAAGTGTTGCATTTATGTTTTTGTTCAGTGTAATAAGCTTTTTCTACAACCAGTGAGGTGAAGGCACATCTTTATATGATCATTATCCATCCATCCATCCATCTTCTCCCGCTTATCCGTGATCGGGTCGCGGGGGTAGCAGTTCCAGCAGAGAGCCCCAAACTTTCTTTTCCCTGGCGACATCAACCAGCTCTGACTGGGGGATCCCAAGGCGCTCCCAGGCCAGCGAAGAGATATAATCCCTCCACCTGGTCCTAGGTCTACCCCTTGGTCTCTTCCCAGCTGGACGTGCCTGGAACACCTCCCTAGGGAGGCGCCCAGGTGGCATCCTAACTAGGTGCCCGAACCACCTCAACTGGCTCCTTTCGACGCGAAGGAGGAGCGGCTCAACTCCGAGTCCCTCCCTGATGACCGAACTTCTCACCTTATCCCTAAGGGAGACACCAGCCACCCTGCGGAGAAAACCCATCTCGGCCGCTTGTATCCGCGTATGATCATTATATTTATAAAAAAACAAGAGAATAAAGTAAACAGGTATAAAATACTATATGACAGTAAAAACAAGTTGTTATTAATAAACAAGAATGCAGTTTAAAAGGGGAGTGATTTGTAAAATATCCATAAAATCTGCTTACAGTTCTGTTTCATATGGGTGTTGAGAGATGTATCCATATATCTCGTAATGTTGCTCTCAAAGAGCACCAGATTGATGCTTTTAACTTCAACATTTAAAAACAAATCTTCCCGGGGGAGCACGCCACCCCCCCCCCCCCCCCCCCCCCACACACACACACTTAAATCATGTTCACATGGATAGGAAACTAAATACATTTGCACACATCTTGTGTCCACACACTCAACCGTGTACATGCATGCATGCGCGAGTCATGGTAAGATATCTGGATTAAGAGGTTGCTTTTTCTTTGCACATCATGAAAGAAAGGCCAAATGAATGGGCTGTGATTTTAATATTTTTAAGCAGAGGTCAATCCTTTGTACGGCCCTCAGAGGATGTTGTAAAAATTGAAATGGCCCTTGAGAGGAAAAAGGTTCCCCACCCCTGCCCTAGTGTATGTATGTTTAGATGATTTAGAGTAACGTGTTATAACTTAAAGCTGGTTTGTTCACATTGTTGACTATGACATCACCTTACCTGCATCGCTTGAATATTTATCACTTCAAACAAGGGCTCCTCCGCTAGGCCTGAAGCTCCCCTGTTAAACAACATCAGAGTCATATTTGAAACAGTTCATGTTAATTGATTAGCTGAGTATAAGATAAGAAAAGCACTCACGCCTCCTCCTCCTCTTGGTCCGTGGTGAACAGGTTTATCCAAAAGCCAGTTTCAGCTTTGGGCTCTTTCTCGGCCTTCATGCTGCCCATCAGGCGAGCCAGCAGGTTCAACTCCTCTTTGGCCAGCAGGTTAGTGTTGTCCGTCTGCAGAAGGATGGGGGGGGGGGGGGGGGGGGGAGGAAGGTTAAATACATGAACAGAAAGAGGGTCTTAAGCCTGCAGGATACAATATTTGATGCAAAATGATTGGGGAATTGCGCAGCGACCTTTGAGTGCTTTCTGCAGTGTCTATTAATATGTACAAGATGACAAGAACGATCTGTTTTCTCTGCTAGATTTAGAGCTTACATGTATAATAAGAAATCAATATGAAACGTTTAGGAGAAAATAACACTATTTGGAGTTTTCTACTCTTCATTCAACCTTGTGACCTCCCAAAAAGAAATGCTTGTAGCTTCTGATCTTTAACACTCCTCTTATTACCTTGACAAAGGTATCCTTCGATGTGTGTGTCTCCTCTGGATGGTTCACAGTGTACCTATGTTCATGTAACACAAGGGAGCGTCATGTTCAAACCACTAAAGCAGATTAATAATACTAATAATATCAATAATAATGCATAACAATGATAATTATTGCAGATTATAAATCATTTAGGGACAAGGGGGTGAGATTAAATAAATTATACTTCTTCTCACTCCTTTTCGAACACTAGATGTGGCACTGTTTATGTTGCTAATGCTGTTGTTGTTGTAAATGTCTTTTGTTTTGATTTCTCTTACATGACTATGCACTGCAACATTTGTTTTGTAATTATTTATTTTACTTGTTCGAAATAAATGTATCAATCAAATCAAACTTGTATGTTATTTTCATGTCATCATTAGTACATGTGGTGTACAGTTCATACATGTCCATGCCCAGTCTGATGACTCTGTCTCCGTGCAGTTCAAAGCACCCCTCTCTCACAGAGCTGCTGTAACTTCCTCCTGAGGGGAACTCAGTCCGTCTCACTTCTCTGCCCTTTCCGTCAAATGTCCTGTAACAGAAAGCAGATGATGAAACCGTAGAATATTGAGATATTACTTTTAAGCTGTCAGAGGACATTTTCAAGTTAAGACATTTCAGCTTGTCAGAGGAGCCTTGAGACTTGCATCATACAAACGGCTACATGTGGTGCCACCAATGGAGGTGATTGGCTGTGTGAAAATGATACCCAACCACCAGATTAGAAAATAGGCTTGGTGTGTAAAAGTATTTAATATTTTGTTCTGAAACAGTAAAAAATGGTCTTTACGAACTAGTTACCCTGTGTGGAAACTTGTTAGTAAGCAAATTGATTCCCTTTTCTTGCCTCGTTACTAGCTCTTTTTATAGGTTTGTCATTTAAAACAAACAAAGAATTGAGTCATTAGAAATTAAAGTATCATACTTCTAAGTGACGAATCTGACATTGTTAACTGTTTTTTAAAAGGACAAACTTAACTTTAGTGATAATTGTATTGCTTTTTCTGAGAAGCTGAAACAATTTGTAGAACAAATCTGTCAATTTTATAAGCTTACGGTTTGAAATGTCTTATATAAGTAGTGACATGCAGTTAAGTGCAGAACGTTTTACAACATGTTACCATCTAGAACACGACCACAAGTCAGAGGATTCCCATATTCATTGGGAATCATCCTCTGGGGACATTGAATGTCTGCCACACATTTCCTCGCAATTTACCTTCATAAGACGTCATAACATCTTGATAGAAACAATACAAAAATAAAGGTGACAGGAGAGATAACTTAATATTCATTAGTTTAATATTGTTCAGTATATTTCAGACTGTAGTATTTGAATGATAATAGATGCAAGGTAAAAAAAAAGAAGGGGTACAGGATTATTTAAAGTTATATGACAATGCTGTGTCAACATTTTCATATTATTGTAAGGACCATGCATAAAATACATACATTTTAAAAAGAGAAGGCATGGTTTATGTCAGATTTAGTATGTAAAAGATAGTTCAACAGACTTCTAAAATCAGAAAATACAATGTTTGTCAGCGGCCTACCTAATGAGCCCTGGGACATCTATCCCATGAGGCACTGGGCCTGATGTTGACAGGGCAAAACGTCCGTTGGGATTTTGGACTTGAATTTTGAGGAAAAGTGACACCTAAGAAGAAAAAACAACATTCAAACAAGGCTATATTTTATTTGACATGTACTGACTGCACTGCATTGACTGACATGTAAGGAGAATTGAAAAAACAAAAAGCAGAGGACTTACTCGAACATGCATGTCCTGAAAAAATATGAGCAGCGTTTGTCTGAGAAGCTGGAATTCACCTTCGGGTAAAGATGAGTATACCTACAGTATACATAAATAAAAACAGACCAGACAGGATGCAGCTCTGTTAAAAACTGACAGCTGGAATCCAGACAGTATGCACATGCATGTACAGACACTTGCACATACTGTAACATGCAGCATAAAACAGTCAATATGATAGTTAAAGGTTGATTTACACAACAGCTCTCAACATACCTCGATGATCTTCCTGTGTGTCTCGTCCACTTGGTTCACAACCACAGGAGTGTCTTTTACAAGTTCCCTGATGGTATCTATGTGATTGTAAGTGATGAGCAGCAGGTCTTTAGGCCTTGGACAAAGGAAGATTTGATATTTGAATGCCATGACCATCAGCTCGTAAAGCTACAAGAGGGAAAAAGAAAGAAGGTATAAACTTTAGGGACATGCCACCACTGCGATCAAACCAAACTGCCTTTAATATTCTAACACTGGCAATTTTTGACAACTTATTTTGACCCTGTTGACACCTTTAGGGGACTTCAACCATTAATAAAACCCTCAGTATTTGACCTGATAAAATCCTGAAAATATAAAACAACAGTAGGCCAGTGTTGGGTAGCCCTTGCGTGGCCAGTCATAACCCTTGATTATACTGTTCTTTACAATTATTTATCATGTATTGCAAGATTTTTGTCTTCGATATAATATGATGTATACAATATGATGTATAAAAATATTGTTAAAGCTGGGGTAGGCAATATTTCTTAAATGCTTCATCGACATAGTAGAGAGCCTTGAATATGTTTGTAATCTCTTTTTTTTCGAAATTGCCTAACCTGGTTACCATTGAATAACAGTATGCTGACAGGTTGTTATGGAACTTTTGGCCAATGATGACAGAAGTAAACTGCCAACAGTAGTTAAGCACAACTTTTAAATAACAATGTTTGAAATGCAATGTTATGAAATAAAATCACTAAAGTGACCTCATGTAATATATTCCTTTCATCTTGTAAATACCCTGTCCATGCTGGCCGGGTTCAGCCTCATGATGGAGGCGTGTGCTATCCGAGTTAGCACTGTTTTCAGGGTTCGGTGAGAATACAGCTGCTGAGGTTTGAGAAGTTCATCCATAAAGTCTTTACTAAACATGGCCCCCACAATGCCATTCATAACTGTGAGTGACACAGAAACAGAAAGGTGGTTAATTATTGTTATTTTATGCCCATTGGAGACTTATTAGACAATAGAACTCTGTGCTGAGACATGGCCCGACACCAAGTTTCCTACATGGCAAGATACATATACTTTAAAGTTGTTTAGCCTCTTTTTTGTTGTTGTGTTTATCCTTACAATACTACAATGGCTGTGCAATTAGTAAACAAGATAAGGTAAAGCTTTATGTGGCTAGCTAGGCTATATAATTATACAACTCTGCCAAATTATTCCTTTTCCTTTAGTCAGTGTATTCTACTTGTAACAGTGTATATCTACACCTCTGTATTGCTAATTGTACTTATCCTAAGTAAAAGGTCTCAATACCATTTCTCTAATGCTACAGGGGCACAAGGAGCTGGCTATCATGTATTGCATGAATACCTCTTTTTCTGTCATTTTCTGACCACACTCCTGCATCCGAGTTAGGTTTCCAGGTAAAAAACGAAAGAAAACAGACCTGTCATTTCAGATTGTCAGTGCATGTAAAGCAATGCTGCACATGGTTAGTTTTCAAGCATCAGCTTTACAGCTTGTCAGGAGGAGGGGTGACTGGGAGCTAAACACACGCACCTCCCAAGCCTGTCATTTCTCTAGCTACCTCTACCTTTCTCTGAATTGTCCTCGGACGTGTTGAGAGCTTGTAGGCGTTGGTCCAGTATGTAAAGCATTTCCCCACCAAGATTAATGAAAACCAGGGGGAGAGTTCTCATAGACATCCTGCAATGACAAACAAGGGATTCACTCGTAGTCAAAAGCTTGTACACAAGTGGGTGTTGGAAGCAGTTTAGCCCTTCTCAGATCTAAAGCACTCCTGTCATTTAAAAGGCATTATCTGAGCCTTCCTGTTGTGAATCGCCACTACTAACAAATTGTCCATGTCAAGTCTTATCTGATCGGCTTCTGCAGATAAACTGTCGCATTAAGATGCAACAGGTGGTGAGGAAGAGGATCAGCAGAAGCCAGACACAAGCTTATTGGCCAGGATAAGGGTGACGTGGCAGCACAGCAAAACCAACCAAAGAAGGCAAATTACTGGGTATATTTTACATTTTTGTTTATTACAACATTGTGCTAGGCGTGTTGATGGTATGATGCAAACATAAAAGTTAAATCGCCTTATTACACTTCATGGCCAAATGAATGTGGTAACATCAACAGTACAAAGTATGTCCTAAGCATTTAAAGGAATAGTTTGACATTTTTTAGAAGTAAATGCGAAGCTTAGCATAGACTTGAGTCTTTGGTGCTTTATGGCAACCTCAATTGATAACAAGGTTTCAGGAAGTCACTGCACCAACTCAGAGAAAAGTCCTGTGCGTAACCCAACACATCCTCACTCCCAGGTCGGCCTATGTTGACGTTATGTCAAGTCCCCTGTCGGCTTTTTCCAACGCAAGGGGGGGGGGCCTTAGCGGCCATTTTCAACGCAAGGGGGGGGGCCTTAGCGTCAATTTTCAGCTTTCCGGGATGTCCATATGCTTCTATGGACGCTCATGGAAGCACGGCATTCGTTTGTGTCGGCTGCCCTTAAAGGCAATGTGAGCGTCCATTCTCATTGGATAACGGAGAATTGTACACCCGGAAGTAAGTATTCCCCTTACTGTCGATTGATTTTACAGTGATATCTGCACTACTCATCGACTAAAAAACACCAGATTATCCTTGTTAATTACACAACATTGATTGGTTTAAATTGTGTACAATGCTTTTGTATTTTTCCCCTTCGATTCGGAGAAACAAATATGTTTTCGGAGTAAAGGATGGCAGAAGACACTACACTACCCAGAATCCCCAGCTATCGTTTGGACTACACCATGTGCTCTGTTTGACGTCACGTGATCTTCACATTTCTCCCTGCAGAAAAAAAAAACATGGCCGAACTTCGTTTTATTCTCGATGGAAAATGCCTATTTTAAAGTTAGTTTGGCCATTAAAATGCGTTTTGATGTCATTTGATGCGAGAAATATGAGTTGTTATTTCAGATTATGTGTGCAGTGGATGTACATGATCTTTAGTTTGCTAGTTATTACGAAGATTACTTCAGGAAATTGCGTCCATAACGTTTTCATTGTTACCAAGGTGGTTGCTAGGGACGCTGCTATCGATATTATTTCTGTTATGTTGTGTAACTGTTTAATGGTGTTATCTTTATTGCTACCCCCTTCCCCGTCAATGTATAGTGTTGGTCCACAGCGCAAACATATTAGTTTAACAAAATCCGCATCTAAAGATAGCCTACGTTATTTTCCCCTGTGCAATTCCAGTCTCACATCTCACAGCACATCGTCATTAACAAATAACGGAAACAGACCGACAACATTTTTAAAAAATACAATAATACTTTATTCCGAGTGTGCTTGCTTTTCTCTTTGAAAGTCATCACATAACGGCATTGTAATACACGGTTCGGCTGCATTAAATATTACATATCTGCCGTAGTTCTGTATTTATAGAGCCCTGATGAGAAGACTTCTAGACAAACATGAGGAACTGAAAACGTGACGTGGATCATAAATATATCAGCCATTAAACAACATCTTACATTTCTTTTCACACAATACGTCTCCTTGCAGTATCAACACTAATTCGGCTGACTTTTATATTTGATCCAATTGGTAGATAGGCTGTATTTACACCATAAAGGTGCACAGCTGATATAAAGGGACACCTAGTGGTTAAAGCATGTTATTGAATTTCATTATTTTTATTATTAGATATTAATAGGATCCCTATAAAGTATATTAATTACTCGTTATTCTCTACTAATAGTTAATTAAAGACTGTATATAATGACTATTTTGCACATCCCTTTCAAGATTTCAAGATTTTCTAAGGTTTATTGACATATCATATAGGCCTACACAACTATGGTGTAGTTATGCATTGAATGAAAAACTTGGGTCGCAGGTTCCTCAATAGTGCATTACAAGACATCTATCAATATTTGTGCATACCTCCAGCAATGTTAACTATGTTGAAGCACTTATTTTAACTGATATTATACATAATGTATTATACTCTTATAAGATGTATGTAGATATTTCATCTCCGACCTTGTCAGGTATTGAACAATCAATAAAGAACACAGAATTGTTGAATATAAAACACAGAATTTGTGTGATTATACTAAATGATTTACAAATAAACACCACTGCATATTTAACTGTTACACATGCTGATGTAACGCAAATGTTCCAACTTGGGATCAATAAAGTATATCTTATCTTAAGCTGATCGATGGCTACTGCCATATTTGCAAAATGTGCCTCTGAACCTTGACAAGTGCATGTTTCAGGCTTATCAATTAATGTAATGTAATGTTATCAATTAACAACAGGGGTCACAAACATAAGACCAGCTGTTAAATAAAGCTCTTCTGACCTTAGCTGGCATGTGTATATATATATATTAATGCTGCCCATTATGGGCACAAGCCATTTTCACCCATTTATTAATTATATGTTTTAAATGTGAGTGTTTCCTATCCCCTAAACCTCCAGGGATGTACACAGTTTAATACTGGCAACTTCTTATTATGGGAAATACGAAAACGTCTTTTAAAACTACAACTCCCAGTAGAGACGTGCCATAGATACAGAACATGTTGCGAAACAGAATAGCCAGCATTTGTAGTTCTGGGGACAGGGTGGGGGAGGGGGGGACGCGGTGGACCCGTTCAAATCCAGTTTTGGACAGTCTGCCGTGATTCCATCCCATTTCAAGTGCTGTTCGAGGCTCGGCGTAACCCTCGGAGCACACTCTCCAATCACAGAGCTTGAGGACTATCACGGGGTTTGTCAAACAGAGCACATGGTGTAGTCCAAACGATAGCTGGGGATTCTGGGTAGTGTAGTGTCTTCTGCCATCCTTTACTCCGAAAAAACATTTGTTTCTCCGAATCGAAGGGGAAAAATACAAAAGCATTGCACACAATTTAAACCAATCAATGTTGTGTAATTAACAAGGATAATCTGGTGTTTTTTAGTCGATGAGTAGTGCAGATATCACTGTAAAATCAATCGACAGTAAGGGGAATACTTACTTCCGGGTGTACAATTCTCCGTTATCCAATGAGAATGGACGCTCACATTGCCTTTAAGGGCAGCCGACACAAACGAATGCCCTTGCGTTGAAAATGGCCGCTAAGGCCCCCCCCCTTGCGTTGGAAAAAGCCGACAGGGGACTTGACATAACGTCAACATAGGCCGACCTGGGAGTGAGGATGTGTTGCGTAACCCCCTTTAACCTTAAGCAAAGAAGATATAACTTCTCTAATTAGTGAGCTTTACAGTACACTTTTCTTCCCTTTGTAAAAAGTAAGGCTATATTTTGTCCCTATTCTTGCAGTCTTGCTCTCTGGAGCTTCAAACTTCGAAACTCTCCTCTCAACCTCAGCAAGAAATGGAATATGTGCTTTTCTGATACAATTGCGTACAGATTTATTCAAACTAGGTGTAAATAAACAGTCCTTTACAAAAACTATAAAAATGTATGTCAACAAGGGTGGTATTATATACCTATATTTTTTCCGATACAAGTACATTTCTAAAATCCTTTTTAGAAAAAAGTTTAGGTCATTAATGAATTGTACATGTACAGTACATGCAGTGTATAAAGGATAAACTGTAGCTAAATTGACTCGTTCCTGAAGACTAATTTTACTAACTGAACTGTTATGATATAATCTGTTCACAATTGTAATGTAGCCCTTAGGCTTTGTGTCTTTCTTTCTCTCTCCCTCCTATTCAAATAAAAGATTAGGGAGTAGAAACATGCAAAATAATATTTGATCGTTATGCTCACTGTTACAGCAGCTCACTCACACTCAAACAGTTGAGTTTGTCACAGTCATCTCCACGGGTGGAAGCTTTTCTTGTGAAACATTTTGCATATTGACAATCGGGGAAAATATGTCTTGGAAAGAAAGCTAAACAACATCTGGGAAATAAAGCTAAACAAATCCTGATCAAGCTCACTGGAACATCGATTAGTCAAGAAACCGATCATGGAGATCCATCTTTACATCTGGCTTCTCTCTATGTAAGTAGGTCCTATAATTGATAATTGTGTTGAATGGTTTTTGGCAAAAATGTTCCTGTGTAGACAGTTTTTATTTGCCTGTTGTTAAACAACTAGTTCAACTTTTTTCTGCTATTGAAATATTTACACTATCATAATCGTGTCTTCCCCCCATCAGAATAACCGCCTGTTCAGGGAAAGGTTTCAATGATAAAGAAACCCTGGATTCACAATTTCATAACCTGGACTGGATGAAGTCTATTCCTGACGAGACTCCAGTCTCTGCTATCTCAATTCCTGGAACACACAAAAGCTTGTCACGATATGGAATATATAAATGTCAAGTTTGGACCTTGAAAGACCAACTTAATGTGGGAATACGATATTTTGGTTTGCATGCTGGGACTAGGCTGCGGGATAAAGACAACATTTATATTCTGGATGGAAACATGATGTTTTGGAAAGACATTCGATTTGATGAAGTTCTAACGGAGATGATCAATTTCTTATCAGACCACAGTAGTGAGACTGTGCTGTTGAAAGTGAGTCTCCATCATTCTTTCTTTTACAAATCAAAAGTTGACGAACTGATGAAGAAATTGATTGAAAACTTCCGAAATAATATATTGACTACATGGAAAGTACCAAATATGAAAGAGGCAAGGGGCAGGATTATTTTTCTCCAGAGTAAAACAT